AATAAAGTACATTTCGTGGATACACTTTCACGAAGAACCTATTTCTGGGATACCGCAGTCCCATGTGGATCAGAAAATAGCCACAATGTAGTACAACTAAACCCTGATGAAAATAAATATTACCTTCTCACTCCATATCCCACATTAATGCAATCACTCAAAAAATTTTCACCAGAAAGCATTCGCGCTATCGCTCGAAACCCAAATATAGACTTACAATCAATAGGAATATACTCAAAATCAGATATTCAAATTCACATTAGAACACAACAATTCCAGGAATTATTAACACAAATGGACACAATACAAAGACAATCAATTGACCAAAACTTACGCAAACTTGCAGAAACCGCAGGTTTTGCTGATATCTACACACAAGACTATAGCGGATATTTTAAAGACATTAAAGATTATATATATCTAAACGGTGAAAAATACCGTCCCCAAGATATATCACCAATTAACATTTTTAGCTTTGTTACACTCAAAAATGAGATCCTCGATTTTCTAGGATGGCCCTACTACATCTTAGAAAAATTGACTATTTTATACGCAATGTTTAACTTTATTGGATTTCTTTTCTCACTCTTAAAAGGAATCTACAATACATGTGCTATACACACACAAGTAAACAGACAAGCAAGCGTAGCACGCATACTCTTTGCAGGATTTTTTGGAATTTTTTCCACATCTATAAACAAAATTCTTTTAGACGCACAAATAAAAGAATATAACACAAAAATAACAACACGACAAAATACATACGACGAAGAACATAACTATGTCGACACACAGCCAACGGCACCACAACTACCACCCCTACCAAATAATCATCCACTATCCCTAGTCCCACGAAATTTTCGAAATTTAGCAATCACACATAATCCAAATTTTCGACTCAATACATCACAAAGTCCCGTCCAACATATAATGACACATCAATCACAAGATGATAATACTTATGAACAAATTATTGAACAGCCCCATACCACCGCTTTTCAATCTCAAAATAATAATTTTTTTAGCCCACGATGAGCCGCCAACTTGGATCACTACACCGATCAAATTCCCATCCAACCAATCTTACCTCTTCAATCCCAATCATACCACTTTTTGCTTTTCCGCCACCCGATTTTCCATCTAGCAATGTAACATCAGGCATGAATTCCGACACTAACTCACATATTTCAGTTTTATACTCCATCTCACAGCTAAATAACCCGAATATTGAAACCCCCGATGAATTTGCCGACTCAGAACCATCTCCATCCAATAATTTTCATAACCCTTCTAATTTTTCTCAACCCCCTTTTCAACCCATATTGTCCAATAACCCTGACCCCATCACTCCCACACCCTCTTATGCTTCCCAAGTTACCCCAACCTACTCCTCATACCATTCTGACCAATCATCTCATTCTCCAGACACCCCCCGAATCTCCCCAGAACTAGATAATTTTATTACCCTCCAACAACAACCCTACCACCTTAACACCCCGACCATAAACCAAATCTCCTCCACTACAAACTCATCCAATCCCCCTACACCCTCTTCAAATTATACTGAATCATTAACACCATCATCCACATCCACTATATCTTCACTAAACACTAATAGAGCTTACCGCACTTTTAAAAGAAAATTCCCCAACCATCCTTTCCCAGCAAAACCAGGAACAGCTCGTGAATACATCAACCACCCCCAGCATAATAACACTAAAGAATTTTTAGCTATCACTTTACCCTCATTTCCACAATACACCTTAAACACCCCTCACGACGCTAACGAAACACGCAACTTTGTAGATGAATACGTTTTAATGCCCACTCTCTCTTGGACCTCATACTATCATTTCACTAACCCTCTTTGCTTACCTTTATCCAGCACTTCCATCGATATAGACCGAAACAAAGACATGCTATATCGACTAACTACACCACTAACCGCTAGACAGTTTACTTACGTTGGATATAAAAAATCACTAAAAATACACACTGCACCTAGAGCTAATGAATATACGCTAGAATACTACGATCACAACATCATCAGAGCTAACCAAGATCAATTCTTAGATGACGATCGCTTCGCTAATCCACAAATCACCGAGAAATTTTTCATCAAGACACCATATGTATTTACACTAAACATCTTCGACCGAAAGTTTGATCACATTATTTCAGAAGCACTAACAAACACACAAGCATACGAAAGTTTTAAAGAACGCTTCCAAATCTTTTCACTAACCTTTCATTTCCTTGCACCACACGAAAGAGATTTACACTGCTCACACGATATTATGTTGCGCACTAAACAAACACATACATACAGTTACTATCGTTTCATCCAAAATCACTTTGACCTCCACACACCCTCTAGACAACCACACCATCGTTTTCAATTCATCAATTCAAAATACACTTCACCGTATTTCCTAAATTTCACATATTGTATTAAAGACACTAACCTCCATGGTATTCTTCGTAATTATGACCCCATAACCCAAATGTACATTTTCTGCCCCATCACCAAGACCTTCAACGCCGAAGAATCCCGACCCTTCCTTATCCCGCACGAATTCCTACAACCTATAGAAATCCCAATTTTAGAATTCATCCACAACACTAAATTTAACCACAAATTATATAACTTAATCCAAAACACACCTTATGAGTTTGCAGTAGGCACTGAAGAACTAACCACTATTAAGGCACTTCAATTGCTTTGGCCACTGCTTCAAACTAAAAATATCATCCGCATCTTAGCTAAACTACTAACAACTTCAGAACTAATTCACGACATCTTCCCCCACGGTTTTTTCCCCGACGACTAACAGGTAAGTATGAATTAAATGAATATTACTAACTAATTACAGTATTAAAAACTCACCATTCTTTATTCATGTTTTCTTTAGATTTTTAGCCTTCATCCGACGATCACCTACAAAAACCACAAAAGACAAATAAAAATTGCAAATTTCATCCAACAGATTTCAAAAATTCTATTAATCTCTTACACTTATAAATTTATAAATTTAATACCAATGCAGTAAATTCATTTATAAAATTTTCCCCCAAAAGCAGTAAATCTAATTATAATGAAAATTTGTATCTTAAAATTCCCCCATAACTAGCAGTAAATTTCCAAATTCTATGCAGTAAATTAATAAAATGCAATTGCAGTACTAACCTTTTGATATTCTCATTCATTCGCACAGAAATTCTATCCATACTCGCACAGCTCGCCCACGAAGAATTGTTTAAAATAATGAATTTCAGTTTCAAGTTTTCACACTCAACAACTCTAACATATAATAACATATTTCAAACTTTCCTTTAACCCGGTTGGAAAGGAATCATATACTAAACAAAACTAACCAACGCAGCTTACTAAATACCACAAATCATAGAATAACAGCATGACTAAGAAAAGGAAACCAACGGTACCCAAACCGGATTAACCCAGTTTAAAACTGGATAATTTATTCTTTTGAAGACTATTACAAAGTCTTAGAAAGAAATAATAAAACACAAAAAAGTCGAAAGACAAACCCATACCACAAACAATTTGCTTTTTGGAAAAAGTACATAACCAACAAGACATAAGTAAGACCACAACAAACCCAACATAAAACGTTGTCACATAACAGGACCCCTCACAAAAACCGCATGAAATCATACTCCCACACCTGGCCTAACCCACCAGGAAGGACGTCCTGAGCATGCTCTATAGCCGGCCTAACCCACCGCGCTACACCCACGCTTTGTGACCACACCTTTATTTTTAATAAGAGCTACTCAAGGGTGAGTAACTCTTCAAAATAACCGAACTAAAACAAAAAGCTTTTGTGAAAACAACTAACTAAAATCATTATTAAAAAATATTAAACTAATAAAAGTTTTATAAAATGTAAAATCACATGATGCAATATATAGATCAGAATACAACACCAAAGACGAACATCAAAAGACAAGACGACCCCACTACACTCGAGAGAGAATGACCAACTACAATCGATATGCCGCTCACAATCACAACTCAAAGGATTTAGAGTACGACTTGACCTCGCAGAAAAGGACTTCATTGAACTAGACCAATGACCACCTCGATGACCCAAGTGTACGTACAGATCCGAGTAACCAGGCATCCCCTCCACGCACAATCTCCACGCCATTCCCAAGCTAGATCAGACACAAAAGAAGTTCTCCCCGAAGAACAGAAAAACCTGACATAGCCAACCATTCTGAAATCAGAATTGGTTTTGTTGCAGAGACTCAGTCGTTGTCACAAGAAGAACACAACGTCTTATGTCTCTAACTCCAGTTTCCTGGAACTTCCTAAACAAAAAGGAAACAAAGAAATATGATGATTCGCCAAATACCAACGTCCATCATCCATCCTTGAATTACAGAAGAACTGTTCTAAAAAACTCTGTAAAACCCGGATGGGTGGAACCTGATCTAAACTACATTTTATGATTGGATAAATTAAATGTTTTACCAATGTAAAGTATTTAATATTAACCAATCATGATCCATCTAACTAACAACCCACTTATTTGTAAGTGCTGAAGTTACTTGTAATTTCAGCACCAGAGAGATTTGAATTTAACTTAGAAATTAGTTGGACTCTCCCGAGCACTTCAGCAGCCGCAATAAACCAGTATACCCTAGATCTATTGAGCCTAGCAGAGACTAGTTAAACAACCTGAGACTAGATAGTATAAGAGTAAGATTAGGATTGGTATTAGACTAAGAAGTTGCACGAATCTATCCGGCCGAAAATAAGATAGCGTGACGAGCAGACGGTGTACCCTATCCGAAATTACTCTATGAGTTATACACTCCAGTCATAACTCAATAACACAACCATGAAGTTCTGAGAATTGTTTGCCTATCAAGTCGAGAGTGTTTTGAAGATTTTATGAAACCAAAACCTATGAAACTAACCTTCGGCGTGTAATCGTTATTGCTAGTATTCCTGATGGTGCAGAACGTTCTAGAATAATCACGAAGCCTGTGTTGGAAGAGGAAGCGTGGAACGCTTACCCTTACACTAAGACGAAGTACACCTGTCACCAGGCACCGGCCATGATCAAAGACAGCTTCTCCCTCTCCATCGAGACCAAGTACCTGAACGATATCGGCAACTCCGAGAACGTGTTCAACCTGTCAGCCTCCGAGCTCAGACAACGCAGAGTGTACCACCTGGACATGATCAATGTCAGTACTACGCACTACCTGTTTCGAAATCAACAAAAATCTTGACAACAAATTTAGGAACTGATGTACCAATTAGGCTAGCATTGTTGATTTTTAGTTAGTTTTTGAAAATAGACTGTATTCTATCAAAGAAAAACTTGAGAACAAAAAAAATTGTGACTAACATTTTCACCATCTGAAATCTTCAATCATTTTTTTGACCTCGTACCAGTATAGTGTAGTAATATATCTCTTGTTCAGTTGCATGTGTTGTTTTTTCAGGACTACAAGGACGTGTATGTGGAGGAGGAGGACCCCCTGAAGTTCGTGTCAGAGAAGACGGGGAGGGGTCCCCTGGGGAAGAACTGGATCAAAGAGAGGGATGGTCAGAAGGAAATCCTCTGTGCATACAAACTGTGCAGAATCAGATTCGACAACTACTTCTTTGGACAGAAAGGTACGTACCACCTGACTTCACAGGCAACCAATGCATCATTATACGATTAATGAGGGTTTTACGATCAAGGGCATTATACGATCAAGGGGATTACACTATGCAGGCTCATTTTGCAAATGGTTTTGAAGCAGTGAAACTAAAGGTATTCTTATGTGTGCTTTAGTGGAGAATGATTTGATCCACGAGCGTGCCCTTAAGAAGTTGCTCATTCACGCACACCGACAGGCGTGGTGTTGGCAAGACGAATACTATGGACTAAAAATGGAAGACATGCGAAAACTAGAAGCAGAGGCAGCCGAAGATCTGAACAAACGCTTTGCAAATATCGACGCAAACGGAAACATCAAGGAAAGTACAACTGAACGTTCGCATCCGGAAGGTTCAGAAGCAAACAAAATAGCAGCCAACAATCCGGAGAAGAACGGAACCTCATCAGCAGTAGACGCTCAGTCCAGAAGACGAAAGGTCGGCAAGTTGGACTCCGTTTCGAGTGATGCCAGCAATGGAAGACTAACTCAGTAAGTTGTTTCGCATAGTTAAACTGAACCAAGTCAATAGAATTTTTGAATCCGAATACTTTTCAAATGAGTAAATGACTTGAATTTTACAGTTTTTTAACTATGACATTTTAATGCACAATGATAACGCAACATTTGATTTTTTTTCATAGTTTAATTCAATAATTTGCGGAATAATATTTTGTTCAGTGAAAAAGTTCCAAGTGAAAATGGCGATGGCTTTGGCAGCACCAACGGACAATCGAATGACAGTGTTGTCAACTACATTTCGCCAACTTCTCTGGTCAAGGAACAACTGACAAGGTCAGCCGAAGCTTCACCGAATCAACGTCATTCCGCCGAGCCAGTGTCACGGCAGTCAACAAATCTGGTAAGGAAAGGATGAGATGCCTCATCTTGTACATATAAGCCAATCTACTTCGTTGGGCATTGATTATACGAGCATAGCGTAGTGTGATAGTACGATGCAAATTTTGTTTCCGACCTTAGTCGCGTATGAAAAGGCTATTTTTGGTGGCAATTTGGTATTATGCTCTTAATGCAGCCTACTGGTTCAAAATTGCCACCAAAAAGCATCAACTGAGTTAACTTTTTACTAATCAAATGTCAAAGCACGTGGTATTATACTCTTAATGCAGCCTACTGATTCAATGTGCTTTGACATTTGATTAGTAACAAGTTAACTCAGTTGATGCTTTTTTAATTCATGGATCAAATCGGAAAAAGCTATTTGCTTCATAGGACAGTTTGGTAATTAAAATCCCATTTCAGAATTTCCATCTCGATATATATTTCGCGTGTTTTTTGAAATGCTTTAATGCATAATTTGGTTTAATTTATTCTATTTTGTTACATCCAAAGTTTGTGTGGTTGTCTTTAGTTTTTCACACTCCAAAATACTCCATGGAAAGTTTTAGTTGTGCATGTGAATTTTTTTGTGCTTCTGAATCTTCGCTGCTTTCTCGCTCGGGTTTGCGAAGTTGCAGGTTCGTCTGTGTTTGTTCTTAGTATACATAGCCTGAACCAGCATGTAATTGTATGATTTTTATGCGACATTGATCAAATTTAGAGACAATCACACAAAAACGTTATTCAGTTTTTGCATGATTCCGAAAGTTTTCAGGGCCATTGATTTTGAAAAAACTCCTAGTAAAAATCATTTGGTGTCAGTTTTTATTTCTTTTTTCAAAAAAGAATTAGTCGATAAAGTAAATCGATAAGATAAAATTAAAGGTCTGGACCTATGGATTTGCCGGCCTGGGCAATTAAAATGGTAGAAACATCCATTGCTGAATAATAATAAGTTTTTTCGATAAACCAGTGCATCAAGTTAATATTGTGCCCCGATTATCTCAAGCTTACATAGCTCCGAGATACAAAAAAGGAGATCCAACAGCGGCAATTAGCTATAGGCCATTTCGGTAACAAATACTTCATTAAGCTAGCGAGTAGCTAGTGTTTTAGTATAAAACCTTTTTTTCTTACCTAACTCGCAAGTAAAAGTTTTCACTTATGCATTTTTGCTATAATCGCGATCCGAAGCAGTGGAAATTTCATAGCATGTTCTCGGCTTTGTTTGTGGCTAAATAAGTGTTCATGGCTGAGTTGTTAGTGTGTGAGAATCATAATTTCTAGGTCGCATTAGGTTTGAGTCCGAAACGTCGCCGAATTTAAACTAATTAGAGGCTTTTTTTTTAATTTTTTTTGCACTTCTAAGAACTTAAGAGCTGCTTTTTGTCGTGTTCTCGCTAGTGTTTGTGAAGCACAGCTTCGCCTGTGTCTAAAAATATAAGCGCTTCCTGCTCCAACAAGTTATTGCATATTTAGAAACGATAAAGTTGTTATGCAAGGCAATTCGGCTGCCCAGAAAAAAAGTTGACTGACGCGGTTGAAACTTCAATTGAAAAAATAAGATTGTCTTTCAGAAAGAAATTATACCATGGCTGGTTTTCTTGACCATGCTAAAGCATTCAATTCTGTTTCACATCAAATTTTTCTCAACAGACTAAATTTGGTACGGATTTTCCACTGAAGCTCGCAAATTTTTTGTCGGACCGGAAACACTGCGCTCAAGTTGGTGATACAAAGTATTGCTAGGCTACGGTAAATCGCGGTTTAACACTAGGTACAGTGCGCGTTCAGATAGTTTTCATGTTTTTCATTAATAGTTCAAGCAATAAATGGGAAAGTCGCTTCCAAACCGTTCAATGTGCGGATGAGTTATCTGTGCAGAAATTGACTTGCCCATTTTGAAATCTTATATACAAGATACATTAAAATCTGTAAAGCTTTATTTATTCAAGATTGAACTCATGGTTTATGCAGATAAAACAATTATAATCAGATTTGACAAAACATCAGAATCATTTGGTTCAATATTTGCATGAAACGCAGAAGTTGGAAACTTCAGATTCAGCACCTTATCTTGGCATTATTTTGGACGGAAAATTGAGTTTTTTTAACGATATGAAGAAGTGTTCCAGCAAAATGTTGTGCGGATTTCGGTATTAAACATCCTACTGAATGAATAGCCGTTGCTAGCGCGTGCTTTTTATTGAAATGCCTAGTTCCGTCCCATATTAGTAATAGTGGATGATGTTTTAGTAGATTACAACAGTAAAGTGATCGTTTGTATCGCCAAATAAACTGAGGTGTAAAGTTTACTTCATTAGAACAAATTTTGAAAGATGTCGTGATCTGTTTTCGAAAAACAACTTATTTTCTGCAGGATTGTTTATCGAAAAAATTTGAGTACTTCATTCGCAGTTTCATAGAAATTTTTGATAAAAGTTTTCTTTTGCTAGAATTTTGCCAACAATCAACTGCACAAATATTGCCAACAATGAACTGCCTTGCCTCAAAACTTGAGAATGATCAAAAAGAAGTCAAAGTATCAAACTGAAATTAATAATTTTTCACTTCATTTTATTGAAAAAATACCGGTATGAATATATGAATAATTACACATGCAAATCTTGTGTTATAGTATGAACTACCTTTTTTTCCAGCCTAAGTCGCAAATATGGTAGCGATAAAATTTGTTCACTTTGAAAATGTTCGTTTTGACCAATAACCAGCTATTAAGTATAGCCAATGCTAAGGATACTAACACAGACTATTATTGTTCCGATTTTCGTAACGAAATTAACGGAATATATGTGCTCGGATGTTTTTTTTCTTCAGACAAATTTCGATGGGATTTTTGATATCATTCAAAAAGTATTGTTGCCCTGAGCTTAAATTATGAAAGATGTTTCACCTGTGGTCATTTTTCGTGTTGTTCTAAATTGGTTGAAGGAAGCTTATTTGCCATAATTGATTTGTTACTTGAAGCGAAATTTATGACGTGTGGGGGGATAATTTTCACAAAAAAATCTTCGCCTCTGTGTTGCCAAGCGACAATGTGCATGTGCAAGGGCGTTACTCTTAATCTCGATGTCGGGGTTCCGCTTCAGGCACAAAGAAGTTTTTATTTTCTAAGGCTTTTTCTTAGTTTCTTTTTTGGTCTCTCGTTTGTGTTCGCGGAGTGCAGCTTCGATCACTGTCGAAATTTGTTTTCTCGTTGTTTGTAACTCAATCCCAACTTTTCCCTATAATTTTTTGATCGAAAATTAAATAGGTTTGGAGAATCCATTTATTCGTCATGTTCGCCTCATTTTACGTCTTTTGAGGAGCGATAAAATTTCTCGGATGGGTTTGCTGGTGGTTTATGGTATCATTACACAAGCAAAGCTTGTGTGATAGTATGAACTCTCCTTTTTCCAACCTAATCTCAAATATTGTTGTGACTCAAATATTTTTGCGACAAAATGTTCATTTTGAAAGTTTTAATTTTGATCAATAACCAGCAATTAAATACAGCGCTTGCTAGGATATTAACATACTATTATTTATTACAAATAGCACTTTAGCTTCAAACTATCATGGATCTGTAGCGTAGAGGTAGGTAAGGAGACCAGCAACAAAATAAGAGGGTTCGAACCTGGGCAAGGTCAGATGCTTTAAATAGACTTTTTCGTATACTAGTTAAAATGCGCCCGCTTTATAAACTGAGGCATGTTAGTTGGTAAATTTCTTTTTTGTTGGAATTGACTGCTAATTTGTCATTATTGGCGTGCGTCACTCAGCAATTATGTAGACTCATAATTGTCGTGCGTCACTTCAGAAACCTTGTAGACTCAAAGTTTCATTCATTCAGTTTTTCCCAACAGCGTTATCGGTCATATTTTTGCTTGTGTATGCGAAGTGCAACTTCGCCTCTGTGTATAACTCTTTTTTTACCTTGTTTTAATTGATCTAATGGTGTTTAGAAGCCAGCCTGGATTACTTAATCTTATTTGTTGATTTGCAAACTGATATCAAAAAGCTTGTATTCTTTAACCTGTGAGTCCTGTTAACAATTCAAGCTATCTGTTCAGATAGATGCTACGGAACAAGGAGGTTGTGAAGTGGAGAGGGACTCCTCGGCCACTGAGAGTTTCGCAGATCTGGAGAGTGAGGGTGAGGACGAAGGTGACAAAGACGACGAGTTCTTCGATGCTCTCTCTCAGCAGCTGTGCAACTCCACGCTTATCTTAGACTGTGAGCCAGATGGGACAGAAGCTACAGGACAGTCGCAAGAGGGGTACATTCACGTGATATTCGGTTTAAAGAAAATTTATTTGGAAGCCAAATATAAGTATATGTGATTTGTAATATCATCCTTCCTTTTGACTTGATTGAGTGCATTAGTTTCGGTTCCCCGATATATCAGCGTATTGCAACCTACCCTTCACGATCCTATCTAATACTATTCAATCCTAGTTTCCAATCTAACCTGTGTCATGTCATGTTACCCTAGGTTTAAATACTAAAATTTACCTATAATTACTAAAATTAACTGTTCAAGCTAATTTTGCGCAGCTTCATCAAGATTTGAATAGAAGTTGAGAGCTTTTTCCATCTAGGTTTTTAGCTTTCTGATTTTGTGCTTCTGGTATATGGGCAACAGTAATGCTTGCTCGTTAATTTCCATTGAATTTCCACCAATTTTCTTCAAACTTTTCAGTGCACGCTGGGACTGAAACACAAGGTGGAGCTGGTTCTGTCAGAAAATTATGTTTAATCCGAGTGAATTAGAGAGACATTTATGTCGCAATCAAGTTTTTCGAATATTTTTTATGAAGATGAAACAGTTAGGTTTCAAAATGTTTTCAACGAAGGAATGTTCGATGATGTTTGAAATTAATACAACTCCTAAATCAAAATGAAGTCATTGGAGCAAGATAATGCATAATTGTAACGCAAAGTAGTATTCGATAGCATTTTCTAGGCTTGAAAGCTGTGTCATATAGCTTTGTAGTCAGGCTGTTGCGTGGTTGTTTTAATAAGAAAACTATAATATAAAGTACTGGATTTTAGTTAATATTAATAGCACCCGATCTTTGAGTGGACTCGGCCAAAGTGATTTACATGAACGTGAAATAGATAAATATAATATCAGCAAATATATTACATAAGTAGTAGAAGAGTGAGCTGATCAGGGGGGGGGGGGGGGGTGTGGTTGCAGACCCCCATGTATTAAGATAGGGAATAGAGCATCCGGTCTACAAGCTATTAATTGAGATAGAGAATAGATTTCCCAATGTATTAGGATAGGGAATAGGTTTCCCAATGTATGAAGATAGCAGGTTTTAGATGGTAAAGTTTCAGATGGTAAGATGGTAAGTTTCAGAAAAATTTTTGGCGCCCGAATTTTTTGAGCTCGATTTTGCCGATACTTGCGTTTCTTAGCTAACTTTTACGATTTGTGATATGTAAGGGCTATCTTGTCTTACAAAAATTCGGTATGGTAAGTTTCAGAAGGTAAGTTTCAGAAAAATTTCTGAAATTTTAACTTTTTCTTGCAAATACATTTTTATCTTGAAAAAAAAACACTTTTATATTAAAAGATCGAAAAAAAACAAAAAAAATCGATGGTAAGTTACAGATGGTTAAGTTTCGACAAAAATTAAGTTTCGATTTAGAGTATGGGATCATAAACTAATATATCACAGAATATATTTTTTCTCGAAAGAATCTTTTAAATTCTTATTTCATCTTATTTATATTCCCTCAGGTTATCTGGGGAAATTGTCAAGAGGGAATATCTTTGACAGGATAATTATTCCGCTCCACGAGATATCGGGGGAATCTTGACAGCTCCTCACGGTTGATTACTTTTATATCCCACTTAATCTTTTATGCCCCAGGTTATCTGGAGAACGGATGACAGGTTCATTATACTTATTAATTTTATGACTTAGTGTATTATTTTTCACATAATTATCCCACGATTATATGACAGATGCATATTAGCAGTTTCCACAGAGTTAATGAAGCGTGAAATACTTTCTTGAGATTAAATTCTTAAATTTTCATAAAAAATTGAAATACATCCAATCAAAATTGCATGAACTTTTCATTGGAACTAAGATAAAAATATGCAAAAATTTTTAAATTTCTACCAATCAGATGTTTTTATCTAGTTCTTGTTTTTGCCTCAACTAGTTTAATTATTCTGTCATTTTTTTTGCTTCGATTCATTATAGTTCTCTTTTATCACTTTGTCTTTAATCTTTGAAAAATTCTTTGAAATTTCCAAAAAATTATCATCCAAATTTGTCAGTGATCCGCCACGTTAAAAGTTTACACTGAGAAAAATGTAGTATCATAGTTTTTTTTGTGTGTCTGATATTTTTGTATTAAAATTTTTCCATCTTTCTCAGAGTAAACTTCTAAGAAAATTATACAATTTACGAGAAGTTGGTTACGATTTTTTATAAATTTATCTACTCTCATTTCGCCAACTTCTCTGGTCAAACTGTACATATAAGCCAATCTACTTCGTTGGGCATTGATTATACGACCATAGCGTAGTGTGATAGTACGATGCAAATTTTGTTTCCGACCTTAGTCGCGTATGAAAAGGCTATTTCTGGTGGCAAATTGGTATTATGCTCTTAATGCAGCCTACTGGTTCAAAATTGCCACCAAAAAGCATCAACCGAGTTAACTTTTTACTAATCAAATGTCAAAGCACGTGGTATTATACTCTTAATGCAGCCTACTGATTCAATGTGCTTTGACATTTGATTAGTAACAAGTTAACTCAGTTGATGATTTTTTAATGCATCGATCAAATCGGAAAAAGCTCTTTGCTTCATACAACAGTTTGGTAATTAAAATCCCATTTCAGAATTTCCATCTCGATATATATTTCGCGTGTTTTTTGAAATGCCTTAATGCGCAATTTGGTTTAATCTATTCTATTTTGTTGCATCCAAAGTTTGTGTGGTTTTCTTTAGTTTTTCACACTCCAAAATTTTCCATGGAAAGTCTTAGTTGTGCTTTTTAATTTTTTTGTGCATCTGAATCTTCGCTGCTTTCTCGCTCGGGTTTGCGAAGTTGCAGGTTCGTCTGTGTTTGTTCTTAGCATACATAGCCTGAACCAACATGAAATTGTATGTTTTTTATGCGACATTGATAAAACTTAGAGACAATCGCACAAAGACATTATTCAGTTTTTGCATGATTCCGAAAGTTTTTAGGGTCATTGATTTTGAAAAAACTCCTTGTAAAAATCATTTGGTGTCAGTTTTTATTTTTTTTTCAAAAAAGATTTAGTCGCTAAAGTAAATTGATTAGATAAAATAAGTGGTCTGGACCTATGGATTTTCCGGCCTGGGCAATTAAAATGGCAGAACTTTCCATTGCTGAATAATAATAAGTTTATTCGATAAACCAGTGCATCAAGTTAATATTGTGCCCCGATTATCTCAAGCTTACATAGATACGAGATACAAAAAGGAGATCAACAGCGGCAATTAACTATAGGCCATTTTGGTAACAAATACTTCATTAAGCTAGCGAGCACCTAGTGTTTTAGTAAGAACCTTTTTTTCTTACCTAACTCGCAAGTAAAAGTTTTCACTAATGCTTTTTTGCTATAATCGCGATCCGAAGCAGTGGAAATTTCATAGCAGCTTTTCTCGGCTTTGTTTGTGGCTAAAAAGTGTTCATGGCTGAATTGTTAGTGCGTGAGAATCATAATCTCTAGGTCGGATTAGGTTTGAGTCCGAAACGTTGCCGATTTTAAACTAATTAGAGGCTTTTTATACTTTTTTTTGCACTTCTAAGAACCTAAGAGCTGCTTTTTGTCGTGTTATCGCTAGTGTTTGCGAAGGGCAGATTCGCCGGTGTCTAAAAATATAAGCGCTTCCTGCTTCAACTAGTTATTGCATATTTGAAACGATAAAGTTATTATGCAAGGCAATTCGGCTGCCCAGAAAAAAAGTTGACTGACGCGGTTGAAACTTCAATTGAAAAAATAAGATTGTCTTTCAGAAAGAAATTATACCATGGCTGGTTTTCTTGACCATGCTAAAGCATTGGCTTCCAAACCGTTCAGTGTGCGGATGAGTTATCTATGCAGAAAATGACTTGCCCATTTTGAAATCTTATATACAAGATACATTAAAATCTGTACGGCTTTATTTATTCAAGATTGAACTCATGGTTTATGCAGATAAAACAATTATAATCAGATTTTACAAAATATCAGAATCATTTGGTTCAATATTTTCATGAAAAGCAGAAGTTGGAAACTTAAGATTCAGCACCTTATCTTGGCATTATTTTGGACGGAAAATTGAGTTTTTTCAACGATATGAAAAGTGTTCCAGCAAAATGTTGTTCGGATATCAGGATTTATACATCCTACTGAATGAATAGCCGTTACTAGCGCGTGCTTTTTATTGAAATGCCTAGTTCCGTCCCATATTAGTAATAGTGAATGATGTTTTAGTAGATTACAACAGTAAAGTGATCGTTTGTATCGCCAAATAAACTGAGGTGTAAAGTTTACTTCATTAGAACAAATTTTGAAAGATGTCGTGATCGGTTTTCGAAAAACAACTTATTTCCTGCAGGATTGTTTATCGAAAAAATTTGAGTACTTCATTCGCAGTTTCATAGAAACTTTTGATAAAAGTTTTCTTTTGCTAGAATATCGCCAACAATGAACTGCAGAAATATTGCCAACAATGAACTGCCTTGCCTCAAAACTTGAGATTGAACAAAAGAAGTCAAAGTATCAAACTGAAATTAATAATTTTTCACTTCATTTTATTTAAAAAGTACCGGTATGAATATATGAATAATTACACATGCAAATCTTGTGTTATAGTATGAACTACCTTTTTTTCCAACCTAAGTCGCCAATATGGTAGCGATAAAATTTGTTCACTTTGAAAATGTTCGTTTTGACCAATAACCAGCTATTAAGTATAGCCAATGCTAAGGATACTAACACAGACTATTATTGTTCCGATTTTCGTAACGAAATTAACGGAATATATGTGCTCGGATGTTTTTTTTTCTTCAGACAAATTTCGATGGGATTTTTGATATCATTCAAAAAGTATTGTTGCCCTGAGCTTAAATTATGAAAGATGTTTCACCTGTGGTCATTTTTCATGTTCTAAATTGGTTGAAGGAAGCTTATTTGCCATAATTGATTTGAAGCTGAAATTTATGACGTGTGATGGGATAATTTTCACAAAAAAATCTTCGTCTCTGTGTTGCCAAGCGAGAATGTGCAAGGAC